CTGTAGTAGCAGAGTCAAGTCATGGCAACAGAGATCATTTGGCCTACAAAGTCTAAAATATTTAGCCCTTTTCAGGAAGAGTTCACCAGCCCCTAGGTAAGCCTTCGATCATGTACCATTTTAAAGAGTAGGATGAGAGATGTGAACCACGAGGAAAGCCTTCACAATAACTTGGGCAAAGAAGGGTGTCTGTCAAGTTGCTGTCATTTCCTGAGCTTTCCTTGGGCAGTGGAGAGAAGAGGAGGGTGAGAGGAGAAGTCTGTAAATAGGCCATGCCCAAGGGCAGCACCTGCAAGGATTCCTGAGTAAGCAGTGTCTCATGGGCCTGAGTGAAGTCTTCCTTGCCAAAATAGCCACCCCTGCTGTCCCTGCATCAGCTCTTTATAACCCACATGGTAGGATATTTAGCAGAGAGGGCAAATGCAGGTTTTTATGTTAAGATCAAGGTCATTTGTCCACTGAAATGAGTAAAGGAATTTTTTGGAAGAAATAAGAGAAGAATTTCTCTCACTCTACTGGTGAAAAGTCATCATCATCAAGCAGTCACCCTTTCAGGGAAAATAGCTCAGCAGGTAAGAGACCACAGAACTAGGAGGGAGCCTGACAATATTACTATTATGAGTTGTGCTGTGCCCTCTTAAGAAACACAGCTTCTAGTTGCTTAATGTCTCTTGATATCATTTTGTGTTCATCTCATCGTCAAAACATCTCGATGGGGTAGTATCAAGTGATGTAATCCTTATCATCTGATGTCTCATAGGTGTAAAGACTTCAGTTAAATTTAGCCTGATATTCTATAACGCCTGTAGAATTTATTCTTGGTCCCAACCATTTGCCTCTTAACTTTTGGTCCCTTTGAGTGCTATCTTTATTAGTCTATATGTTGCCTTCCCAAGTAAATTCTAATTCCCCTGGAGGTCTGAAGGTATGGCTTATAGATGTTTGGGTTTAGAAAATGCCTTCCATCTAATGAAACCACTTAAATATAAAATGAAGAATCTGGGCCTCTCTGGTGGCACAGGGGGTAAATCTCAGCATTATGAAGCTCTCCGCAGCCTCTGTAGCACGAGTTCGATCCCTGGCCAGGGAACTAACCCACATGGCACAGCAGTCCTCTCCTGACTCACCCATTGCTCCCCTCAGCAGTGTATTTCTGTCGATCCACCTGTTCGGTTCCCCACTCTGTCTCTGGTGAATCCTCTCACCCCCCACACCTATGGCCTGTACTCCAGTTCTTATACGCATAAATAAATAAATCCATGAAATAAAATAAAATGAGGACTCTGAGGTCCAGCAAGGTAACTGGAGGGCCAGGTAATTGGTGAGAGCAGAACTAGAACAAAACTGGTCCCTCAATTTGAAAGCTAGTGCGTCTACCTCTTTGTGGCCCCCATGTCTATGTATATGTGCTTTGTAGTACTTCTGGTGATGGCCTAGATGGATATCTTATCTTCCCAAGCTGATCACTAGCTCTATATGGGTTAAGGACCCCCCCTACTATTTATATTGCCACTGGCTTTAACTCCTACCTCTTGAGCATCTAAAACATATGGATTACCTTAGGAAACCAGAAAAAGATGAGCAAGTTAAACCCAAAGGAAGCAAAAGGAAATTAATAATGAAGATTAGAATTAAAAATAAGTGATGTAAAGAAGAGAAAAACAATAGAGGATATCAATGAGACCAAAAATTGGTTCTTTGGAAAAAAATTAACAAAATTGATAAATCTTTAGCTATACTGACTGATAAAGAAAGTAAGAATGACAACTCAAAAACAATAAATCAGGCGTGGAAGGGAACACACTACTACCAACCTTAAAGACATAAACGAGATTTTGAGGGTATGCCAACAAATTAGAAAACTTAGATGAAAGCAGACAAATTTCTAGAAAGACACACATGATCAAAACTGATTCAAGAAGGAAAAACCTGTATAGGCCTATAACAAGAGGATCAAATTAGTAACTTAAAAACTTCCAACAAAGAAAAGCCCATTCCAACTTGCTTCACCTATAAATTCTAGTAACCATTCAAAAAGAACTGATATTTGTCCTTCTTTTTGTTTCTCTTTCCCTAATAAACTTGTCCTTTTAAAATGTAAAATAAAATTGATACTTTTCCTTCACAACTCTTTCAAAAATAAAAAGAGGAGGGAACTTTGCCCAGCTGTTTCAGTTAGGCCAGAACCAGAAAAGAGAAAACCAGAACCAGAAAAGACATCACAAGAAAAAAAACAAATATATGGCCCAATATCAATCATCAATATATATGCAAAATCATAAACCAAATACTAGTAAATCATATCCAGTGGCATAATAAATGATTATGTACAATGACCAAATGGGATTTAATCCAAGGAATGCAAGGGTGGGACCAGAACCAGAAAAGAACCAGAAAAGACCAGAACCAGAAAAGACAATCACAAGAAAAAAAACAAATATATGGCCCAATATCAATCATCAATATATATGCAAAATCATAAACCAAATACTAGTAAATCATATTCAGTGGCATAATAAATGATTATGTACAATGACCAAATGGGTTTTAATCCAAGGAATGCAAGGGTGGTTTAACAGCAGAAAATTAATTAATGTAATAATATTAATTGATCATTTTAATAGAATTACTAATATTAACAGAATAATGAATGAAAATATTTGATCATCTCAGCAGGTGCAGAAAAAGCATTTGACAAAATCCATCACTGTAATTGCCTGGGAACTTATGAGAAATACAAGCCCTAACCACACAGACTAAGTCAGACTCAGCATTTTTAATGACATCCTTGGATGATTCAGATCACACTGAAGTTTGAGAAGCAACACACTCTGAAAGTTAACAACTGTTAGATGAAGTCTATGATCCTAGCCCAGTTGTTTTTTTAATCATGATTGCTAAATGTGTTGACATAAAGCATCTGCTATTCATTTTGGAAGGTGGGATGAAGAGGGAAAAGGCTAGCCAATAAAATACACTGAAAAAGAAACTGCTTGGAGCACCAGGCTTTGACAATCCCTGTTGCTTGAAATTATATTTGCCCCATTTTCTTTTCTTGGGCTCAAGGCTTAGCATCTTTCCCAGAAATGCCAAGAGCCTCCCTACAGGGAATAGTGGCTAGATTAAAGTACACTGCAGCTCATGGAAATGGCTTTGACCTTTATTAGCATAAGCTTCAGGAGGGGCCAGCTCTCTGGAAAAAATGGGGAGGCAGCACTTTCCCTTCACTCTTGCCAATATTTGTTTTTGAGCTGGCAGGTGGGTTACCTGGTGTGGTGCAGTAACTGTTTCAGGTCGTAGGAAGATGATCATAGAAAGAAACCAACATGAAATGATCCACTGTGCCCCCACTCTGCCTCCTCCCCAAAGCCTCCCCTGGGGAGAAGCTGTGGTCACACCCTGTGGAGACATGGAAGATGGCATGAAGCTGCTGTGTGATGAAGACTTGTGTTTTCTCTCAGAGTGTGGCAAGGGTGATCTCAGGACTGAGGAAAGGAAGGGGTACATCTCAGGCACTAGTCTTGACTTGGGGACATTACTGGTGTGACCCTAGGAAGGGCAAGCTTGTGTGACAACTACAGTGTGCTCTCTACAAAGCTCATAGCAGCTGATCTGGGAAGTCCCCGTCTAGAATCCTAGCCTGGGGAAAGATCAGAGATTCTGACAGAGTAAAGCAAGAGCTCAGCATCTCAGTGATATTTGTAAGAGCAAGAAGTTCCCAGTGGGATGCACGCCTCGGGGGGGGGGGGGGTATGAGAAATAATAGAATTTGCATGTAATGTTTGAAATTTAAAAGTATAAGAGAAAAGCTTTTCTGATAGGAATAAGGGGCATTGGCCTTCAACTCCCTTCCTGGCCTCTAAATCAGTCACTTGTCTGGTGACATCTGTTGGGGAAGAGCGGCAGCTTCACAGCATGCATGTGACGGGTGTAATTTATAATTGAGTATTAGGGTGTTGAAAGTTCTTTCCTAGTGGGGCGTGAGAAGGGGAGATGCACAGGGGGGAACTATGCCCCAGGCCCAGGGTTGACAAACAGGAGTATCCACTCTGGATTTCCCTAAGCCCTTGCTCAGGGGCCAGCTTTGGCTTCTCAGCAGGAATCAGTACTGTTTCAGTTGGTGGGTGATTTCTTGCCCTTTAGTTCCAACAATGTTTTTTAAGAGCCTCCAGGGTATCTAGGTAAAAACCGTGATCCCCTCAGCAGATTTCATATCATACCTCTCACGAGCCATGTTTTGCCTCCGAAACCCAACTTTGGAGTCTTCTGCTCCAACCTGAAGCTCAAGGCCGCGGATGAGCCTCTGCTCAGCACCTTCCTTCCACTGCAAGAAAAAAGCTCCTGGTTAAGTGTGGGACAAGGTAAAGGGAAAACGCAGATTTTTAGCAAAAATTCCTCATCCGTCAAGCAAATATCCTCAGCTGCTGAAAAAGAGTGGCCAAAGGCTTCCCAGGAATGTTTGCTTTTCTCTAGATGCATTTTCCCTCCCCTGAGATTTCTAGTATGAAAAGCCCACCTAAAGGATCAGGAAAAAGACTAATTATAATAAAGTAAAAATCAAAATCAAAAAGCAACCATAAACTAGAGACACACTATTGGGGGGAGGAGAGAAAAGAGGGAGTAGGATCAAAACAGGGAGGGGGGAATTGTATGGGGGACTATAACCAAGATGAAAATGCATACATTGTGCAAAAATGAAAAATGATGTAAAAAATAAATAAATAAATAAATAAATAAATAAAATAAGTCCTGTTTAAATAATCCTTTTCGAGAAAGGCTTGGTGCAGGGATTCCTTGTGCAAAGTAAAACCGTAAATAATCTTGTCATTTGGAATAAATCCTCTTAATGTGCATGTCATAATTGAATTCACCTCTAATGAGTGTAGCATTACCTTGTGGCAAAAGGTGGATTTGCTCCTGGTTTCTGATCACCTTCGAATGTTGCCTCGAGGTGGCCTGAGTGCTGATGAAGTCAGTAAGGGCTGTGCATTGATTTTCAGACACAAGAACCGTCACCAGCGCAGCTCCAGACGTGTCCCTTGGACCAACAGTCTTCAACAGTGCGATGGCTGAGACCAAGGTGAAGCGCATGAGGGAGTAAGTAGCATGAGACCTGGCCCTGGGAGAGGGCTGGCCCTGGGAGAGGGCAGCGTTCAAACAGCTTGACAAAGAGTGCGATCGGGTCACATGCTATTTTACTTATCTCCACAAATACCACAGCAGTGATTTCCTAGTTGCACAGCATATGCCTGGATCTACATGGAAGAACTGCTATTTATTGTCTGAATGAGCCCCCCCACACACACACATATCTCGAAATCCTAACCCCCAAAGGTGATGGTTTTACTGGGGGGAGACCTCTGGGAGGTGCTTAAATCATGAGGATGGAGCCTCATGAATGGGATTCTTGCCCATTGGCCAAGTGATAATCAGGCCAAAATGTAATCAAAAGGACCTAATTCGAGATTAGGAATCATGGTCAGATCTTAATCACGGGGCGGCCCCAAGGTGTGTCCCATCAGGTCAAGGAACAGGGCTCAGGCAGGGAAGTGTTCTGAGTTTAGGTCATTTGTTGTGAAACTTACTGGATTGGTTCTTAATTTGGCATGATTGGCAGTCAGAAGAATCCAGAGAGAAGGCTGCAGTGTGGGGGGTCTGTGGTCACCATCCACAGAGGGTCTCGTTTTTTTTCATTGTCACCCAGTAACCAAGTCAAGCTGTTTAACTTTCACCCAGTAGTTTCAGGATGGTGGCTTGGAGACAAGATGGAGTCTGTTTGACTCAAAACAGGTTCCACAGCATCTATTAAAAGAGGCCCTGGAGAAATCCCTAGCCCCTTCTGTCTTATGAAGATACAGGGAAAAGCACCCGCTATGAACCAGGACGTGGGAGGCCCTCACCAGGGGGTTGCCATGCTGGCGCTTGGTGGAGGACTTCCAGCCTCCAGAGCCCCAAGAAGTAAATGCCTGTTGTGTGTAAGCTACCCAGTCTGTAGTACTTTATTGCAGCTGCCCAAATGGACTGACAGCACTTGCTACAGACGTCTTGGCAAAGAAAAGACACCCAGCCTCCTGCTCTAACTTCTGTACCACTTGTGTTGTACGTGAGTAGATCAGGGTTGGCAAACTCTCTGTGAAGGACTCGATGGTAAATATTTTAGTCTCTGCAGGCCATATAGTTTCAGTCATCATTCCCCATTCTGCTGTTATGGTGCCAACACAGCAGACAATATATACATTAATGAGCACGACTGTGCTTCAATAAAACATTGTTTTCAGACTATGGTTTGAATTCTATATAATGTCCAGATATCACAAAATAGTGCTGTTCTTTTGATTTTCTACAGCCATTTAAACATGTCAAACAATTCTTAGCTCACGAGATGGACAAAAACAGATGGTGAGCCAGTGTTTGTGTGGCTGCCAACCCCTGCTGTAGGTGTTCCAACTCAGAAACTTCTCCCCCAAATCTGCCTCTTGTATTGGTGCTGGTTGAGTAGTTAGGGAAGTTTGCAAAATTATTTTTCAGTCAATTTGCATTTACATTGTTCTTGCAACACAGTGCATCATCCTCCCAGCCAGTGTTTGAAAGCAAAGGAGAAGTAGAGTGCTGAAAATTATTTCCAAATGTGAAGCTGGTAATGTGTTTAGATGCGTATTGCTTTCAAGTTCTGCCTTTGCCTAAGTGATCACATAGTAACACTGTTACCATGGGAACAGGTGACGCTCAGGAACTGGAAGTGAGGGAGTTTGGACTACATTCCCCACCCCCTATTTACTTCCATTTCTCTTCGCTAGGAGGCGATTATGGAGAATTTTCCAGTAGATAATCTTCACCATAAAAGCAACTCTTTTATTTCATTTTTAAAATTTAGTAAGGTATTAGCATCTGAATTTTGAGCTAGGAATTCATTACATTTGCTAACTAATGAATTCCATTTCCTAGCATATTATGAAACCATTTAAATAATTAAAATGAAAACATTTTTGTCAAAATAAATGAGCTAGGTGTGCAGTCTAGTGGTTTTATTCCTAGTATATAGTTTCTTTCTAATTGCTTGTCTGCATTTGACCAGGTATTTTCTGGCTCAGGTTGTAATGTGGATCAATGCACCTGGGACTCCTCCCCCACAGTAGTGTTGCTCCTCTGGTAGAATAACCTGTTGTGTTGGTGGTGGTGTCCTCTGCAGCCCAATTTCCAGCGGGGGTGAGGTACTGAAAGCTCCCCACACCAATAAGCAATTCCAGAACTCCAGCAGGATGTCTGAGAATTCAGCCCAATACCGACACTACCCAGAGATAGCAAGAGATCCATGAGTTAAAGACACCAAAAAGAGGGAATCTTGTGATTCTTCCAATACACAGTGAGCTATGACTGTGTGCTCAACATGTGGACAGCAACTTTTGGGACCTAGTGAACAATGAATGACATTTGTCCCTAGGGAGATTGTAGATAAAGCATCAAACTTTGAAGTGAAAAGTTAAATGACAACACTGTGGCTGTGTAATATGAGGTGATGACCTTGTGCCAAGCAAGCAGATGGTGGGGCTTCAAGGCCAGAAAGGGGCAGTTGAGGAGGCTGCTGAGAGAGTTGGGAACTAGGCCTTGGCCTGACCCAAGAGGTAGCGTTTGTATAGGTATAGAGAAGGGGAGAGCTCAGCAAGCGTCTATGTAAATGCTTCACCCAGAAACACCAGTTGTGAACATTTTATAATCTGCACACTCTCTCTACATCTATGTTAAATGTTTTTAAATGATTATAATTACTATTACTATGTCATTTGAGAGATAATTTCATTCCTCATGATTCATCACTCCTAAATATTTAAGTGTGCAGCTCCTAAGAACAAGGGCATCCTCTTGTATAACCACAATCAATGATTACATTTAAGGAATTTTATATTATTTAATGCACCAATCCATATTCAAATTTTACCAGCTGCCCCAATGTACTTTATAATACTATTTTTTTTTTCTGATCCAGGATCATACATGGTATTTAGTTCCTCTGTCTCCTTGGTGCTATTTATTCTGGAAAAGTTCCTCAGCTAATCATGGACATTTTTGAAGAGTACAGGCTATTTATTTTGTAGAATTTCCCTCAGTTTGGGTTGGGTATTTCCTTATGTTTAGATTCCAGGTTGTATTTTTTTTTTTTTTTGTATCCTATATAAGTGATGCTGTAGCCTTCCAAATTTTTAAAAATTAATCTTGGGAAGTTTCAGACATATACAAAAGTGGTCAGAAGAATCAATCCCAATGAACTCATCAACCCATTCAACAATTATCAGCTCCTGGCAAACCTTGTTTTATCTCTACTCCCATCTATTCTTCTGTGTAACCTTGAAGAAAGTTCTGTTCATGTCTTTTTATCCGTCAACAGTCAGTAATATGTGAATTTTAGCCTGCTCTTTGACCTCCCCCTATGGAAGTCCACGAGGCATTGCAAACTTAAAGTGTCCAAAAGTGAGCTCCTGATTTCCCTGCCTCATCTTCCCTCTCCACAGTCTTCCCTGTCTTCAGATAAGAAAGGTGCAGTCTAGATAACTGACCTCTCAGTTCACTCATCAGGGCTTTCAAAGGCTCTGCTGTGGTGGTTGAAGGGTCTTGGGCCAATGGCATCATCATCTGCTCTCCAAAGTTCTGTAAGGTATTTGGGGAGCAATGCCTGTGGTGATCAAGATCTCTCAGCTGGGGGACCCTGGGGCTTAGAGATCATTACCATACGCAGCATCAGACATAGCGTAGCCCATGGCATGGTGGTCAGGAGGAAGGTCAGGATGGATGGGAACAGCTGGAGTCGTGTCCCTGCTTATCATCACTAGCATGCGTCCCTGGACGAGCCACCCACCCTGCTTGTGCCTGAGATTTCTTATCTGTAGAGTGGGGCTAATAATGGTTCCGGCCTCATGGAACTGTTGTGAGGGTTAGTTGAGACAATGAATGTGTGAAATGCACTTAGGCTAGCTCATGGCACATAGTAGGTACTCCGTAAATGGTAACCATTTACAATAGACTCAATAAACACGTGGTTGTTTCCTCTCGAAAAGCCCCAAGCCCAGTGTCTCAAGCTGTTGGCGTGTATTATCTGCTAAGTGATGTTTTACACCTGAGGACATCTGTGGGTGAAGAAGTCACCTGTGAAGACATATAGCAATTTTTTTTAAGCATGCCAAAAGAAGTGCCAGTTCTCTGGGAAAATATCATGAAGCTGTTGGATATAAAAGTCCACTTCCCATCCTCCAACATTTGGCTTCCTGTCACGGCCATTTCTTACTCCTGCTGGGAGACTCCACAAATGAAACTCCCTCGCTGGGGGCACAGCCGGCACTTGGCTCTCAGCAGTGTTAGGTGGTGCCACTCAGAGTCCCTACAATGTTGGCAGAATGACAGGAAATCAGTTTTGACTTCCTTTCTGGCTGAGTAGTTTCTATATATGTGCATTTGAAGAGTGGTTGCCATTCATCTAGGGATGACTGGATGGATAGATGGCTGGGTGGGCCTTTGCAGCTTCGTGGGCCCCCTGAGGCCTCCACTGTCAGAGCAGAGTCTCTGGTTTTCTGTGGAGAAGACTACTGTGGGCTGGATTTGATTTCAGGCCCCTGTCAAGTAATCTCACTGGCATCCTGGGCCTTGCTATTTTAAGTGTGGTCCACAGGCCAGCAGCGCTGACTTCCCCTGGAGGCCTGTGAGTCCTGCCGAATCTCCAGCCTCACCCTTCGTGAGTCAGAACCTTCATTTTAATAACCTCTCTGGATAGTCACATAGAAATTACTGTTTGAGACACACTAACTCAAAAGGACTTTCCTCCTGGAAGGAGTTTGTTACCAGAATAGGAGCTGGGATCAATCTTAATAAAAGCCAAATATTATATAAAAATATATGTACATTGCTAAGGCTTCAGTGTTGAAATATTTTTTGTTCACTTGCTTTCCATTATGATTTTCCCCTGAAATAATCTTTATTTTAAGATTTTTTTTCCACTTACATTTTTAATTGAGATAGAATTGATATATTACATTAGTTTCAGGTGTATAACGCTGGTATCTGTATACACTGTGGAATAATCATCACACTGTGTAGCTAACATCTTTACC